TGATGGAGTTTATGGACTTTGCCAGAGAGCATTTTTTTTGGGGGGGGGGGGAGGGGGGGATAAGAGGTCAGATGATCTGAAAAAGGAAGCAGATTTTGGGAAGCGCCTAGTCGGCTTGGGCTCTGAGGGGGCACACGCATTGTCTAGACAAAAGACCACATCATCAGTGGGCTCCTCACGCAAATGCCCCCCCCCCCAACTGAAGGGTGTCCCATTTAACCTTTGACCCCAGAGAAAAGGAGGGGAGGTGAAGCAGAAAGGCGGAGGATGGGGTCCCTCCCAGCCCAGCTGCCATCTCCTTCCCTCTGGGTGCCCTGCCCCCATGACCGTACACACACACATACACACACACACAGACACACACACACATTCACACACAGACACACATAGACAAACACATTCACACACAGACACACACAGGCATACACACACACATTCACACACAGACACACACACACATAGACAAACACATTCACACACAGACAGACACACACACACACACACTGACAGACAGACAGACAGACATACACACACACATGCACAGACACACACACTGACAGACAGACAGACATACACACACATGCACAGACACACACAGGCATACACACACACATTCACACACAGACACACACACACACACACATAGACAAACACATTCACACACACACACACACATGCACAGGCACACACACTGACAGACAGACACACACACACACACACACACTCATTGACCTGTCTATCTCCCCTCAGTCATGTCACCAGCCTGGCAGACGTTCAGTGGTTAATTAGCTAACAATTAGACCTTCCATTATAGCCAGGAAACTCCAACACGGCTGGTAAGGGGGAGTGATGTATCACATGCATAATTTACTGCCATTGAAAGGGAAATTTAAATAAACAGCTTGACAACTGGCCACTGTTTCATGGGGACTCCCGGAGAGTCGAAAAGACTAATTAACGACCTGGCGTGGCTTAATAGCCCCCCCAGCTCACCCCCCTAGGGAGTAGCAGTACAGCGGCGGGGCACTGAAGAGGGGGAATATTGTGATTGCCGGTACAAGCACGTATTGCCTACCGAAGCGAAATCTCAGTCCGGTGTGTGACCATGCGTATTGCGTGTTTACGCTAGAGCAACTACCAAGAAAAACTGATGATCATTTCACTTTCTACGCAATGCAAGTGTTTCGGGGGGCCTAGAGGTCAGATGACCTGAAAAAGGAAGCAGATTTTGGGAAGCGCCTAGTCTGCTTGGGCTCTGAGGGGGCACACGCATTGTCTAGACAAGAGACGGCATCAGTCAGGTCCAATTGGGGCATTATTGGCGCTAAGAGGATCTGGTCAGGTTTAACAGAGATTCGGGACTGTGCGAGGTTCCGGGGGAAAGGTTTCTGGGTAGAAGAGGCTGTGGTCAGTTCAGAGTCGGGTGTGTATTCAGGCCTGAGAGAAGGATGTGCACGGTTGAGCAGAGTGCATTTAGGTCTGGGAGAGGCAGCACAGGGCAGAACAGGAAGCATAAAGGCAGAGCAGGCGAGCAAACAGAAGTGAGCAAACCTCCTCTTACCTCCTGGTGTTTTCGGGGATCTGGGTAGGGGATGAGGTCGGGGAAAAGCTGCCTGTCAAACAGGGGCTCCAGTACCTCTAACTGTGGTGGCGCAAAAAGCTCTCCTCTCATCTGCTTCCTCAGGAAGTCCCGCCCCGGGTGCGAGTTGCCATTGGCCAGTGTCGACTCCTGCAGCACTGAGGCAGGAAAGAGGTAGGGATCAGCGGGACAAAGATGGAAACAAACCTGGAAGTGTGTGGAGAGCAGGTCAGAGGGAAAGAGACTAGATTAATGCACAATCGTTAGCAGACAGATAAAAGGGAACTACTACATGTTTCTGACTTAATATATGTGTGTGTCTTTATATAGCTAATGCTGTGTTAATGCCATTCATTTTCCAAAGGCTTAGAAACAAAGCTAAGCATCAGAATGCTACATATATTAAAATATTACACAAAGATTTTATCTTATTGTCCTATTCTGACTCTATAGAAGTTACTGCTATTTAGTTAAACTGATAATGCATTTGAGTGCAAATGGTCAAATGATCACAAAAAATCCATAGAAAATTCTGGAATTAATTCTAGTACAGACACTCCTCACTTAATGATCTGCCTGTTTAACGACCGCTGGACTTACGACCAGCTCTCCGACCAGTCGGCATTGAGCGCTGTACAGTATGTATACCAAAGTAATGTATATTAGGGCTGATTTCCTACATTCTGTTTATTACAGTATACAGTAACTTAGTGTATAAACATTTATAAATATACTAAAAATGTTATAAAAAGTTGAAATGTAACATTGAACCAATATCTAAAGATTAGGATTGACACAAACTCACTAACAGTATGCTTGAAATATCTGTAAGGGGCAGCTCCTGGCTTATTGACCAATTCACTTAACGTCCTAGTCATATTAGGAAATCGTTGTATATATATATATATATGTTGTTTTTTTTTTGTTAAAAGGTAAATGTGTATTATTGAAAGAGTACATAGAATTTAAAAAGTGTTTGTGCTTGCCTTTTTAAGTCAAATCCTGTTTTGAAGATTATATAAATCCTCCTTCAGCAGTTCACAGGCTGAAAGAATCCTCCTACTTGCTTGGCCGTGTGGATTGCAATTTAGATGATCACACGCTTTATTTAAAGGTTGCAGAAATCTCCCAGAGGATAAGAATGACTGCTAAAGGGTTAAAACATTATCGCTTTGGATGTGCAGCGACTGAAACCCACAAGAGGCACAAGCAGACACATCAACGAGAGAAAAGGATTGAAACAAACTTCCCCACAAAGAAGCAATTCATTGCCCCAAACCACTCTCAAAAGATCATTCCGGCATCCCAGGCTCTAGACCTTATCCATCTGATGTTAGCCAGCGCCGGACTAAAAATACTTTCCATTAAAATTACACACACGCACGTTTGAGCCAGGCCTAGATCCCGGCTGAAAACGGGCCAGTAAATAATAGGGGCAGGACGCTGATCTCGGTGATAAAACCCCCCCAACAGAGATTAACGGAGGCGCATGCATGTGTGTGAGTGCATGTGTGTGAGTGCATGTGTGTGAGTGCATGTGTGTGAGTGCATGTGTGTGAGTGCATGTGTGTGACTATGTGATCTCCAGCCACATGATGCCCCTATGATGGACCAATCTCACAACCCCCAGCCCTAAGATAGAGCCAGCGGGGGCTCGCAAACATTAACTGGTTGAACTCGTCGCCACCCAGTTAATCCTACTGCCCACTCCGACTTGATGGAATTCAATTGATCAATCATGTTACGCCGATGGTGCTATTTCTCCAGGTGTATTGCTTTCTGTAACCCCTGCCAGTCTCCCTCCCCCGGGGTCCTAGCAACGGCCTGGTGCAAAGGCTCTCCCCCTGGGGGGGCTCGATTCCTCTACTGCAGTGTTCCAGTTGAAGGAGGTCTGGGGAGACTGAGGACCACCTCACATGAGCTCATGAAAAATATGTGCCCTTTTTTTTCTTGACATCATGGTCAATCTGCCCTCTAGGGGACGCCACAACACTTCTGACACAATCCGAACACTGGTGGGCTGCACTCAACGTCAGTTTTGCTTGGTCCGTGGTGAGTTGAGTGTATATTTTCACATACGTGTCACATCTGTGCAACTGTGGGGACGGTGTGTGGCTTGGTGCATTAGGGGTCTGTGCCCATGTCCCCAAGGTCACCGACGGAATGATATCACCACTGGACCCCAAAGCAAGGGCCTTAACCCCGAATGCTCCTGGGGTGCTGGGTGACCCTTGCTCACTTGTACGTCGGGGGTGATGTATGTGTAGTTTTTGGTGATGCCTGCAATCAGAAGGTCACCAGTTCAAATCCCACAATCAACCAAGGAATTTCACCAGTGTGTCCTTGAGGATGGTCCTTAACCCCCAAATGCTTTATCAAAAAATGAACGTCATGTTGGATAAAAATGTCTCCTAAATAATTGTCAATGTAAGAAGTGTAAAATCCACATTGAGAGAAAGTTACTTTCTCATAATGCTGCTTTACTATCAAGCTCAACATGTAGAAACTTTACAGGCTGTATGAAATGCACATAAAAATGCTTTTGAAAACACACACTGGACCTCTGAGAAACACAGAGATGATTCTGGAATTTTGTCCACACTGAAGCGATTACATGGTTCGCTCCCGAAGCTCCAGAAACAAAAAACAACATGGTTTGAACATCCAAGAGCAACTTTGAATCCCATGTGGCCTTCAGGGGGCTCGGAGCTTCACAGAGAGCGTTGCACCCCTGGCCCCCGGGACGCAGGGCCTTGAAAGGAAGCGCTGAAATGTCTTGCCTTTTCTGCGTCTGAGCCCGAAACAACACCACAATGGCGGCGCATTGTCCCCGCCGTGCTTCGCCGCATTCTGTCCACGCCATTGTGCGGAAATGTGGGGCTTTCGGGAAAACAAACAGGGTCCAGCGATTTGGGTGGGTGGGGCGGTGCTGCAGGAGGCGGGTGAGGGGTGGGGTGGGGGGGGCGCTGAGCCTCTTTGCAGTCGACGCAGATTAGCATTAGCATAGCGAGCAGGCCTCACGGTCCGACGCCTCGACGCCGTCGCTGACCTCCCCCCCCCCCTCCGCGGGTGATCAAAGGCCAGGGGCTCAGCAAGGATCAGGGCCTCATTGAGCATTTGACCCCCCCCTCCAAGACCTCCGGCCCCACCATCCTCTCCTTTCCGCTGCCCTTTTCACTGCCTTTAAGCTGCTCTCTTATGCAATTCAGGGGCTTGGGGGGTGGGGGGGTGACGAGAGGGATTTGAAATTCCCAGTATGGAGTTGACTTTTAGGGCTACTGTGCCCCAGTACCTCTAGCTCATAACCCCCAGGGTTGGGGTTCAGATTGCACCCCCCATCTTGCATGTGTGGCGTTTGCATGTCCGTGTCACTCGGGTTTCCCCCCCCAGTCAGAAGCGTGCAGTCAGCCTGACTAGCATCTCTAAATTACCCCAGCTGGATGATTCTCTGTGTGAGTGATGGACTGGCATCCCAGTTCAGGGTGCAGCTGGGTGATTCTCTGTGTGAGCGATGGACTGGCATCCCAGTTCAGGGTGCAGCTGGATGATTCTCTGTGTGAGCGATGGACTGGCATCCCAGTTCAGGGGGCAGCTGGATGATTCTCTGTGTGAGTGATGGACTGGCATCCCAGTTCAGGGGGCACCGCAGCCCAAATAGGCTCCAGGCCCCTGCAACAGGATAAATATTGCCTTTTAAGATAAAGATAAGATAAAGTTTACCGATCCCAGTGGGAAATTCTTTGGCATAAAGTTGCTCCATTTACGTCAAAATTCCACAATGATCTCTCAATTTTTTTTTAGCTATTTTTATCTGTTAAGTTTACACAGCCTGTACTGTTTCTACCATTTGCATGCTGACTCTGATCTTGATTGTTATGCATCATTGTGGGAAGATAACATTTTCTTATTGGGAATTTTAAGACCATAAGGCCCAAAACCCACAGCCTCACTTTTGAATGGTCTTATTATGTAGGCCAATGTTTCCCCATCCGATCCTCGGGGATCCACAGTCGGTCCGTGTTTTTGGTCCCTCCAAACTCCCTACCAGACAGTCCACATTTTTGCTCCCAGTAGGGAGGTGGGAGGAAGCAAAAACATGGACCGACTGTGAGTTCTCGAGGACCAGATTGGGAAACATTGATGAGGCTAATTAGCAGGAGACAATCACTGCCCCCTCACTGCTACTATACTCTCATACAGTTTGTGGATAATAAGGGAACTGACTGCCATACAACAGGCTTGTATAATGAAGGTGACCCATTAAGCACTTTAACAGGGCTGATGAGACCTATGATTCCTGTCAACATCTGACCTCATCAGACCTTTATCTCTTTCATGGCAGCTCTGATCTGTGGAGGTCCGTGTTCTCCATCTCACATGCGATCCAGTAGCTCCTGTCACTCTGGATGCTTGTTGCAGTTTACAGATCTTGGCTTGGTCTTCATTAGCATAACCTCCATGATGTTTCCTTTCTAGTCCCAAAGCTGATATTAGCTGCCTGCTAACAGTAAGTAGCTTCACTAAAAGATTTACATTTTTTATAATCATGTACGGTATCATTGGTCCGCGGAGCATCTAAGGCATTTAGATCAAGCACCTCCCAGCGTGACAGAGTCAATTAAAGATCAAAATCCATTTAGGGTCAGAGCGCTTCTTCCCTGCGCTGTTACCAGCCGTGTGTAACATCAATTAAAGTGGCAGGCGGTTAATTATTTCTGATTAACAATGTGCTTGATTAAACTGATGGTCTCTAGTGATGGCGTGGAACATGGAGGGGGGTGGCTGGACGAGAGGGTGAAAACTCAGCAATCAGGAGCCAGAACAGGACCCTGTCAGTTCACTCAGAAGCCAGGACAGAACCTTGTCGCTACACTCACACCTCAAGACAGGACCCTGTCATTATACTCACAAACCAATCAATTTGGTATACTCACAGCTCAAGGCAGAACCCTGTCGGTATGCTCAGAAGCCAGGAAAGAACCCTCTCAGTATACTCATAGCCCATGGTAGAACCCCATAAGTATACTTATCAAACTCTGACAATATGCTCACAGCCCATGACAGAACCCTCTCAGTATACACAGAGGCCAAGACAGAACCCTGTCAGTAAACTCACAGACTAAGATAGAACCTATCAGTATACTGAGAAGTCAGGAGAGAACTATGTAGGTATACTCACAGCCCAAAACAGAACCCTGTCAGTAGAGTCACAGCCCAGGACAGAAGCCAGTCAGCATACTCAGAAGCCAGGACAGAACCCTACTACTATACTAATAGCCCAGGACAGAGCCCTACTATTATACTAATAGCCCAGGACAGAACCGTATTACTATACTAATAGCCCAGGACAGAACCCTACTACTATACTAATAGCCCAGGATAGAACCCTACTATTATACTAATAGCCCAGGACAGAACCCTACTACTATACTAATAGCCCAGGATAGAACCCTACTACTATACTAATAGCCCAAGACAGAACCGTATTACTATACTAATAGCCCAGGACAGAACCCTACTACTATACTAATAGCCCAGGACAGAACCCTGTCAATATACTCACAGCCTTGGACAGATGTTACTGCTCTTCACAACCACAAACAATGTAAAATATGCATTTAATTATTGGGAGTTAAGGTACATAAAACACTAAGGGCTTGAGGTGGGGGTGGGGCTGGGGCTGGGGGGGGACTCAGAGGACCACAGCAGCGCAGGTGCCCCCGGCTTCTTCCACATCATCTGCCCCCGGAGCTCCATATCGCTGACCGCCATGCACGCTTTACATACGCTGACACCAAGGGAGGGTCTGTTTCCTGTTTATCGCGGCGAGTCTGCCCCAGGGAGTCAGGGCGGCGGGCTCAGAAGAGCAGGACTACACAGGAACTGATACTGCAGTCTGCCCACCCCCCCCCCCCCGGGGGACCAAAATGTGAAACAGCTTGCTGGCATGACTCAAGCGAAGGCTCCTCAACTCCCGGGTCACGGAGAGACCACTGTCATCGCGCCATAAACAAACAACAGCCAGCAAGGGATGCCTACAGAAAGTAGGGGCGTACCTTCTTCCCTTTTACGCTTGCCGGCGTCGGCGGAGCTGATCCCCAAAATGCCGCTGATGGAGTAGGAGGAGCCGGCCGCGTCGCTGGACAGCTGAGTCACCGTCGCCGTGGACGCTGGGAGGACACAGAGAAGGGCTCGTACATGCTGGCAAAGTCCAGGTCGGGGGCTTCAGCAGAATTCAGAATCGGACATGTTTCCTGACAGACCTCTAGGGGAACAAGCAGTCAAAGCTGCTAGCCAAAGCCTTTAGCAGTGTTCTTATTGGTCATTTGAAGTCACATGACAGTAATACAGATACTGGGCCCCCGCATCCCATTTCTCAAATCGCCTCTGTGCGCCTGGAACCTCCTCACAACTCACTGGATCAAATGGGGAACCGCAAGTCACTTGGTGACAGATAAAACACATTCATCCCGGCTTCCTGACTAATGACGTGGAAAACAGAATAAACTGATGTCCTTTCCTCCCCTGATTTATTACCTCAATTATCTGATTTGAGAAGAGAATTCTCCGTTAACGAGGTAGCACCCCCCACCTCCCC